ACCATTTGTAACAACCATTGAAGCCCAAAGCTAGTAAATATTGCACAACACCCTGTGTTTGGCTTACTACCATTTGTAAAAGTTCAAGTCCAAAGCTAGTAAATATTGTCTACTTTAGTTGTATCATCGTTATCTCTTCACACACACACACACACACATATATATATATATATATATATGTATTTCTTTAATCTTATCATAATTTAATTATTAAGATATATACGTTAAATTGACGGGTTAAAAGTTTAAACCTCCCACTTTCGCATATTAAATTAAATTAAAAAAAAAACGCATCGATAATTTTTTAAAAATATAATGCGACAAATTTGCTATCATAAACATATTTAACATTACATAATTATTTAACCAATAATTTAAATTTCAAATGAAATACTTCCAATTAAATATATAATAATAATAATAATACAAGAAGTAATTTACTTGTTGACAATTATTAACTAAATGATGCAAATGACTTTGACGTTGATATGGAAATAAATTTTTCAGAAATTTTTAATTCAAATTTAATTATAACACGCAGCTTTAATAATCAAACCATGGATCAATTAAAATTCAAAAAGTTTGAATTTTATTTTTAATTAAATTAATTTCCAAATAGTCGGTATTAAAAATTACTGTTATTATTAATTATTATTTATATAGAACATAAATGGTCGGTACGTGTCATTTTCTTACAGGTCGCCAGAGTTGGACCACGGGCAACCGGCGGTTCTCGCAGGATACCGGTCCAAATTCAGGCGAAGAATGCCGGGAAACACGAAAGATCCACAGTAGAGATGGTTTTTGATCTTCAATCCGGTGGTTATCATCGACAATTCGTAATCATAATACCAAGCAACTTGTTTCCCTTCAAGATTCACAGCCACCGCGCCGCCGTTCCTCTCCAAATTCGGCCGCCACCCGTGCCTCCTCGTTATCGCCATAATCTTCCTTATCACCGGATATTTCAGAGCAAGGTACCAAAAACTCGTCATCTCCTGCATATTCAAGCATTAATTAAACTACAATGGTATGATATTATCTAATTTAAACATGACATGACTGTATTTTGGACTTCCCAAAAGGCCTCGTACCAATAGAGATACCTTACATATAAATCTATGATGATTGGCTACGCCCAAAAGGATCCTCGAGGCCTATTCGGGAGCTCTCGAACAGCCTCCCCTTAATCGAGACTCGACTCATTTTCTAGAGTTCTCGAACAAAGTACACCCTTTGCTCGATAATTGAGTCACTTTTGACTACACTTCCGAGACTCATAACTTCTTTGTTCGACACTTGAGAATTCTATTGTCATCACTGACTTAAGGGCATAACTCTTAACACCATGTTAGGAATCACGACTCTCCGTAATAATTTGATATTGTCCACTTTGAGCATAAGCTCTCATGGATTTGTTTTGGGCTTCTCTAAATGTCTGGTATTAGTGGAGATTATTCCTTACATATAAACTCATGATGATTCCCTAAATTAATCAATCTCGTACTCTCTCCCAACCGTCCTCAACAAATTACCGTAGGAAGTCCGATCCAGAAATGGCCATGACCGTCATATTTGATGTTGTCCGGCGTTCCTGGTAAGTTATCCACGAATTTCTCAATGCTTCCTTTGCGATCTCCGGCGATGTAATATTTTCTACATCTTCTCCTGTAATTTTCAAGAATCGAAGACTTTCAATTTTATGTTCAATAGATTTATTCAAACAATCAAAGAATACGTACAGCGGAGTTTCGCAGAAGATGACGAAGTCTTGGCTTGGAGCAACCGCGACGCCATTGGCAAAATAGAGGTCTCCGACGAGAAGTTCAGTGGTTTTAGTGGTTGGATCATAGCGTAAGAGTCGACCAAGCGGCCTTCCTTCTAACATATCGAAGATGAAATTATGGAGTCGATATTTAGACGAAGCGTCGGTGAAATAAACCGTCCCGTCGTCGGCCACGTCAACACCGTCGGTCAGCTGGAATTTTAGGCCGCCGGCCTCCGTGGTTAAGGTCTCCACCACTCCCTCTTTGGTCACCTTCAACAGCCCCTGCATCAAATTTTCATAACCAAACGCCGTTAACTTTATTCCCAAAAAATAAAATAGAATAAAATTTAAATAAAAATTTTAATTTTTGCTAATTTACCTAAAAAAATATATAATTTTTCTTAAACTCATTAATTTTAATAAAATAAATTTAGATAGTGCACAAATTAATCATTAAATAATATTGTCAAAATCATAAATTTCAAAAAAAAAAAAAAAAACTCTAAATTTCGTTATTTTCTAAAATTTTATTAATTTTATATCGTAAACATATTTTTAATTTATTAGAATTTGACAATTTAAAAATAGATTTTTTTGAATCGAAAAAATAAATAAATAACTTTAAAATTAAATTATAAATTTGAAAAAATTAAATTTTAATTTTTATAACCTTAAAATTAGAAATTCATCTACATAATTGCATTATTGGAATTATTTCCAAAATTCTGGCTTTATTGGATGAAATAAACCGTAAGTTAACGGAAAAAACATAAAAGAGAAATTTACAGTGTCGTACCTTGTCAGCGTCGGCGACAAGAACAGAGCCGTCAGGCCCCAAAGCGACACCGAGAGGGCGGCCGCCGGTGAACGCCCATTTCTCCACCGCCGAGTCATTCAATCTAACTCGCTTCAACCACCCATCCGAATCTCCCGTGTAAACGAGTCCCAAATCCGAGTCATAAGCAAAGTCCTCCGGTGCCTTCAGCTCCGCTACCCCGACCCTCTCCGCCCCCTGCAGCATCCTACCATTGCACTTCTCCACCGCCTCCACCGCCAGACTCAACTCCTCCGCCGGCAGCGAAGCCGGGTCGAAAGGGTCGAGTTTGTAAAAGACGACGGCTGTGGCTACGAGAGCAACCGCCGTGATTTTTAGAGCCAGCGGAAGGCTGCGGGACGGCGGCGGGTTGTTCGACTCGGGCATTGACTCAGTCTTTGTTAAAGAGGCGATGGGATTTATGAATAGAGAGACCAATTATATTGGTTGGGCTGACATTTGCTTTTGGGTTAGTTGTTAGGCCAATAAAATACTATATCTATATATCTATATATATAGATATATAGATATATATTAATGGGTGGTATATCTTTTAAATATTTTTTTTTTCTAAATAATATAAAATATTAATTTTTTTCATGCATCATCAGTTCCTCGTAGATGGAGAGTCGAATGTCGATTTGTTCGAGAAGGTTCTCTAAATTTAATTAATGAAAATAGTGTCTCTTACTTATACATTCATGATCTTCTGAATCTGAGACTAACAATTCTCAATGCTCTTCATGTCATCCATCTAGCTCTAGATTTTTTTGCAATTCGTGTCGGGCTAATTTTTTGTCTTCCCATCTTTAAGCTTCTTTCTCTTGTGGTTGATGGCATTTGGCGGGTTTGATGCAATGTTGGTTTTATCAAGCTTATCAACCTGTCTGGTTGTAGAACCGATGTGACAAGTGTTTCACTTTGAGATACATTTTTTTTTTTTACCTCTTATGGTGCATAAGCCTTGTGCAAGAACGATGACTATTGACAGGGGTTGACATCTGACCTATAACTCTCGTTCCCCTTCAACAGTCAAACTACTACCTTTGGCCATGTCTTGGATCTAGGGAGATGAGCCTTGGGCAATCAATAATTGGTCCGATCCATGTCAATCTCTTGGTCTACCACTTCTTCGTCGGTCCTACACGTCTTTAAGGGTTTGATCATGCCTCTATTAGGGTTATCAATTTGAGTCAAAAAAATTTCAGACCTATGAAATAACTTAGCCATTTTGCTAAGTTTTAATCACAACGGTATTTGTGTATATTAAAAATCCATAATGAATGCTTATAACTCATATCAAAATCAATCAGAGAAGGAAGAGTCCGAACCAAATAATTAATAGGGCGTATTAGGTTCTACAATGGATAACCCAACTGAACAGTACTCTTTTACATATGTGGTTATGAAGTTTTGATGAGTCTATTTACATTAACAACCATATGTTCGTACTTATTATGGTGCACATATTTTTTGAAAAATCACGACTCATTGACAACACATGTTCATTTGTTGTTTGGTACACATAATAGTGGTCCCTTTTTCGATTTCAAATAACATTAAGATCTTATAATAATTGAACATTAATGTGTTAAGTTTCAGTAGAGATGTCTATAAAGGGATAGGAACGTGGAACGCTTTCTAATTCTCATTCTTACGAGATTCTCACTCGCAAGCTAAATAATTGAGAATATAATTCATGTTTAACCAACAAGGAGAAAACTCTTTCTATCCGCTCTCTATTTTCCGTTTAGATAAGATTTTTCTACCCTATTTAAGGTCGAGACTCCAATGTGGTGCTCCTCTAGGTTAAATGGACATCTCTTGCTATGAGCCAAAACACTGACATTGAATTTTTCATGAAAATGGAGTCGGTCAAGCCGTGTAATTTATGAAAATGGGTCGAGTTCACCATTCAATTTCGACATGAAATCACCGGATCTCATATGGAGAGTTCTATTGTAGTCGGAAAATTTCAATGGTAGGGTGTCAATATAGGTAGGGACGAGGGCAGGGATATGGATGGACTTTCAAATTCCTTCCCCTTATTTCCTTAATATAAGGGTACCTTTTGAACTATCTCGTTTTTTATAATAAAGAGATAAAGAGATTTATAGAGTTAAACCTTGTCAACCTCAGATTTCTCAAACTTAAAAGCTTTCTAACTAAGCAACTAACAATGGCGGCTCCTTGATGGCATCCAAATTTTTTAGGGTAAATCTTTAGATTTTGAATTTTGTAGGATATCTAGATTGTTCTTCATGAAAGTTTATCATTACATAAATCTATCTAACTGAGCTAACAAAGTATATAATTTCGAACAAGAGATCGAAGGTTCAAATCTCGAGAGAGAAGAAGATATTCATGTCGAACTTAAAATTAAAACAAATATTAAAAGTATATACAACCACTTTTCCAAAAAGAAAAAGAGAAAGAGATGCACATATATATACACAAGCAAGCACTTCTTGGTGTTGGTGTCCAAAAAGGAAAAGGAATTAAGATGAAGCCATTAAAACAGGGCCCATTTTAGGACCCAGTGGAACCCAGAGGAGCATTTTTCTAGGAAATGCACCTCATGGAGTACACGTGAGATTCCATTGAGGGTGCACCGTAAACCCTAGGATGGTCACTCTCTTGACCATAGTCCATCATCGGACGGTACTCAAGATCTTCATCATGATCATAAATGAATTCTGGAACCTCAATTTCGTTCCTCCTTACATGTTCCCACAGCAGACCAATTCTACTCACGTACCTCACCTTACCATACACCCTACCACATTCAAATATTACCCCCATTAATAATAAGTTCAAAAAAAAAAAAATTCAATTATTTCTACTCTTTTTTATTTTATTTAGCGAGTAAGGGCATAAATATAATTTTACATCCAACTATTTCTGTGAAGAGTCCAAAAATACTTTTTTTTTCCCTCAGAAGTGTTTTTCTAAAAGAAAAGGGTCAGCCCATACATTATCAACTTATTTAAAATTACAAAAAAAATATATATATTTTACGTTTTTAAAAAAATTAAAATGTGGATTTGACGTTTCGTACGTGTGAAATTGACTACCATATTCAAGAAAATTGGGGGAAAATTGAAATTGATTCAAGGAAAAAGGTTAGAAAATAATACTCGCTGGTGAAGAAAATGCGGCCGAGAGTGGCGAGGAAGAGCCTGGCTTGGAGGTCTGGGTGAACGAAATACACGGCTTCCAGATTAGCCTTGACAGCGGCCGGAATTGCGTCATAGATCGATCGGAGAGCGGCGATTCCGGGGAAATTTTGGCTCCTTTGAACGCTGGTGTGAAAGTACAGGATCGTGAAACGCCTGTTCTTAAGCCTAGGGAAGATCTTCTCCTCCAGATGATTCTTCACCACATCCAAACTCACAGTCCGCGCTGATTATCAGAAAAGATGATCAGTATTCAATCTCATCGATTAAAACAGCAAGAAATTAGAATCGGAGCATTAGTAGTTCAAATTATGCAGATACTTCATTTTCAATTTCATCGATGAAAATAGAACGAAACTCGAATCAGAACAGAGCAAGAAAACATAATCAGAGCAGAGTAAGACAATATGTAGTTGCTTCTTGAGCAAATTCAAACTCACAGTGCGCGCTGATGATCAAAAGAGACGACAGAAATTCAATTTCATCGATGAAAACGAGCAGGAAAATCGAAGCAAAGCAGATTAGGTCAAATAAACAGATGCTTCTTGAGCGCATTCAAACTCACACTTCGCGCTCAAGACAATGACATAAATTCAATTTCATGAACAAGAAAACAGAAACAGAGCATAGTAACGCAAACATATAGATATTCGTTGAGAGGACATTCAAACTCAGTAGTAAAAAAGACGACGAAAATTCAATTTCATCGACGAAAAGAAGAATGAGAGAGAAATCGAAAACCTGGAAAGAATTTTCCGACGATACGGAGAATCCGGCGGCACTGTTTGTCCCTGCCTTTGATCTTGAAGACATCGAACATTTCGAGTTGGTTTTGCTCCGGCGGAGGAGGCTGAACCTGAGCCGACATAGTTGAAGAACTCCGATTAGAATCAGAAGGAAAAAGGGAGTAGCGTGCAGATCATAGTTAGGGCAAACTACGGATATGGATAAGGACGGATTGAACGGATTTGGTGGAGATGGAATTCGTCGAACGAGATTTGGAAAATAAATTAAGAACGAAGAATGAATAATTGAATTGAATTGAATTGAATCGAATTTTTAACAAAGGTGGAAAGAAATGAAGATCATGGTGGCCGATAAAATGGCGCCGACGTGGGTCAAAGATTTTTGTCACAGACGAATATTCTGTTACCCTCCTTCCCTCTCCACATGACACCTCTGCTTTTTAATATCGGTTAAATCCCTTTTTCATAAAATTAATTTTTGTTTTTTTTAATATATAAACATTATTATTGCAACTAATTTTCAAAAATATTTTTTGAAATCAAATTCAAAATTTTAAAATTTTAAAATTTGACCAAATAAAATTTTAAACATTAAAATAAAGTAAATTTTATTTAAAATTTGACTTAAAACTCTAATGTATTTTTAAGAAATTAAAAAATTTTACGTATATAACAAAAAAAAAAAAGCAAAACAAATATTTTTATTATTATTATTATTATTTATTTTGCAATTTAAAATTGAACTTAAAAATACTATTTTGCGATTTAAAAAATAAATAAATAAAAACCGAACTCTCATGTATTAAATTTTATTTATAAAATATAAAATTGAATTTTGTGTTTAATAAAACTAATAAAAATAAAATAATATAACAAGTTGAAGATAAGGCCAAAAAAATAATATAGTTATTTATGAAAATAGCTCCAATAATTAATTAAGCTTGTCTGTGGCCATCAGCCATCATCTTTGAAATGGACTTTTTCAAAATAAATAAATAAATAAATAATAATAAAATAAAACTTTTAATCATCCTTATCTCCCAACTCCAATTTATTTTCAAAATAAATAAATAAATAAATAATGGAAAGAATTTGGAGAGAAATATTAAGATTATAAAATTTAATAATTTCATTTTTTCTTAAATAAATATTTAAATTCTTAGTTAAATTTTAAAAATAAAAATAAGTGGTTAAAATATACGGAGAAATTAGATAACAAAACAAAGAATTTCATTGGTAAAAATAGAGATGTCCACGAGTGAGGACGGGGGACAGAGAAGCCTTCTCCATCTCAGTATAATATACCATAAAACAATTTTTAAATAGGGTGAGGTGGGGAATTGAGCAGAGACGGGGATGAAGAAGCCGTCTCCAACTATTTTTTTAATATGCTTATATATATATATATATATATATATATATATAATAGGGTGAGGCGGGAGAGAGAATATAATCTCGATCCTGTTTATTTTTGGTAAGACATTTGGCATCTCCAACAGACAAACAAATTAGACCAAAACAATGAAGGAAGGATGATATATAAACCAACACGTTCCAAACAATATCACATATGTTACAAACGACCTCGAAACCGCCTCCATAGTCAAAGATGCTTATCCCATTTTTATCCCAAACAATTAACAATGCAAGAAACTCCAAAAGTCAGGCAGCCAAACTTGTAAACTTATGAGGTTCAAAGTTCATTAGATGGCTATAAATACTCTCCCCTCTGACCCATATTAAAACCAAAATCGAAGAACACCGAATCAAAGAGATCAAGATGTCTGAATGTCCTCCCGGTATGTGTTATTTTCTTCACTTGATTTAGTTCTATCTTCTTCGAAGAGTATGGAATAATTTTTTGTAATGTCCTAAAAAAACTGTAGGAAAAGATCAATGGCCCGAGCTTGTTTTCGTAGAGTATTCCATTGTTGCTAGGATCATTGAGAAGGAGAATCCTAACGTGAAAGCACACAAGATTCTAGCTGGGAGCCCGAGAATTTTGAACTTTGATTGTTCACGAGTTTGGGTTGATGTCAATATCAATGATGTTGTTGTTAAAGTGCCTGGGATTGGTTAAGGATTGTGAATTGATATCTATGTAATGTATACATATAGTGCATTTTAAATTAATAATAAGGTAGTATCTTCCTACCACTTTAATTTCGGTGAACTCTTGAACGGAATCGAAGGTTAAAAGGTAATTTTTTCGTTATTTTCTTCTGCAAATAACAATAATAATCAAAGGCGTATTGAGAAGAATGAATTAGAATGGTATACATTTGAGTTTCACTGCAAGAAAACTTGAAATCGTGATTGAAAAACTAAGAACAAAAGATGAACAATGACTATTCAATAATAAAGTTTGAATAATCGTTCAAAGTTGTTGAAATGAGAGTCCTAATTGACTTTTATATATTCTTAAGATCTAGGATTTCTACGTGTCAATATCCCTATGGTTGGATAGATATTTGGAATACTTTTAACGTGTAAAAACTATCAACCTAGTTATGGCGGCCCACCTCCAATAATTTCTCAAAAGAAAGGGTCTGAGAGAGAGATTTTTTTTTTTCTTTTTCACAAAAAATAAATTACACTGACGGAAGAAACGAAAAATTTACTCGACTACCTATCTAAAAAATTATTCAACATGACGATCACAGAATGATTATGTAACTGCCCAAATACGTAACAGGCCAAAACGGATAATATCTACGATCACAGAATGATTATGTAACTGTCCAAATACGTAACAGGCCAAAACGGATAAAATCTACTAACGGTAAGCTTGTGCTGTTACAAGATTATCCCAACTATTACGTTCACAGATAAAATACAATGTAATCTCGTTCTCCTACTTTCTTTAATATAAAACCGTCAACCACGACCAAAGTCATCTCAGACAAACCATAATAATAAAAAACTTGTCCTATAAGAGATTGAGAAAAAGAGGAACATCCCTCCACGTTGTTGGATTTGGGACAGAGCATCAAATTTTGGTCATTTCAAAACAAACATGTTGCGCACATCTCCCACTTTCTTGTAACCTTAATTTCCACTAAAGATCATCAGAACTCAAGCCACCATTATCGGAGCTGAAGAACAAGAAGAACAATGGGGATTACAAGAAACTGGTTTAGAAGAGTCAGAAGGAGGTTGAGTAGAAAAGGCAACAGAGACATTGTTTTTCTGCAGACAAATGCAGAAGAAGAAGAACAAGAACAAGAAGAAATTGCTTATGATTCAATTGTTCCAAGTTTCCAAAAGAAAGCTGTGTGTTTAGAGGAAGTGGCAGCCATCAAAATCCAAACTTGTTTCAGAGGCCATCTTGTATTATATCTTTTCATCACACTTTACTTCCCTTTTACCTGTTTTGCATCCCAAAATATTTCATACATTTAATCATTTATTGTTCTTCAGGCAAGACGAGCATTTCGAGCACTAAGAAGCTTGGTGAAGCTGCAAGCGCTGGCTCGAGGGGTGTGCGCGAGGAGACAGGCACGCATAGCTCTTCAGTTCATGCATACATTGGCTCGATTGCAAGTTCAGGTTCGGACTCGCCAGCTTGTGAGCAGATACAGTGAGGAGTCTGATTGTTGAAACTTCCTCCAAATGGCATCATTGTTCCTTCAAAACTGAATAGAAAGGTATCATTTACATTAGCAGATGCTTTTACAACACAATATAATCCTATCTGTCTGTTAGCCAACAATGTGGCTAACTTCATTGAGAATCCTATTGTTGTTTGGTAATATCTATACGTCTCTTTCTCTTTGTCTCTTTCTCCTTGTTTTTCTTTGTTTTATTGTGAGATCTCACACCGGTTAGAGAAGAGAACGAATCACTCTTTAGAATGTGAAAACTTCCCTCTAGCAATGTTGAAAAACCTAAGCCCAAAAAGGAAAGTCCAAAGAGGACAATATCTGCCAGCAGTGAATTTGAGCAAAGTGTGCCAACAAAAACATTGGACTCCCAAGGGGATGAATTGTGAAATCTCACGTTGGTTGGAGAGAGAAATGAAACATTCCTTATAAAGATATAGAAACCTCTTCCTAATAGACGGGTTTTAAAAACCTTGAAGAGAAGCCCTAAAAAGAAAGTCCGAAAAAACAATATCTACTAGTGATGAGCTTGAACGGTGACATTTATGATCTTATTTTGGTAATGATCCTATTTTGGTCATTAATCTGTATTTCTAGAGTACTTTGCACTTAGTTTTGGCACGATTCTCTTGAGATGAACAAGACGAGTACAACTCGATCGTCTATTACGACAATCGTTGTAAGCCTTTCAGAATCAAAGTTCATAAAAGTGGATTACGTTAACCATGGTAAAGAAAAGAATGAAGATAGAAAGAAGGCAGGATTCTACATTCAGATGTATTGTTCTTAAATAAGATATAATACAACATGCTATGGGTTAGGCCACAGACAGAGAAGGGCTCTTTCAATATATATATAGCTGTTAGGCTAAGGAAGGAAATATGGACACAAAAGAAGGCAAATGAAAATGAAGGTCTGAACATTTTCCTTCTCTTTTTCTTGTGGGTGTGTGTTACTGATTACCAGCACCATTTTTCACCCCTGGCTAAGCTCCTGTTCATTCAGTGGTACCCCTTTTTGAAGGCTGAGAAAACCGCACCAGATAACTTATCTTTCTTGCGTCGATGTTCCCCGTTGTTTTCGACCTGCTTAAATCGCATCTCACTGAGAAACTTTTCATAATTCAACATGTCAGACATGTCTGATGAGTCTACGTACCTGGTCAGCAATCTGCTTGAGGATCTCTAAAATTTCAGTGAAGTTTGGACGTTCGGTTGGATCCTGTCGCCAGCATCTCTCAAGAAGTTCGGCAAGAACGGGATGGGTGTTCTTGGGTATTACTGGGCGCAGTCTCTGTCAAACCACATCAGTTAATAATTAAAACATTTTAGTTGTGGTAATGGTAATATCGACCAAGAAATCGATGTCTATACCTTCTGGACCACACCAACAGCTGCTTGTAATGGGGTCATAGATGAGTAAGGAATCTTGTCATACAATAAAACAGCAAGAGAGATGTCATAATTAATACTAAAATGGACAGACATAAAGATTTAAGTGAATGCTCAAAAGAATCAGCTGCTTACTTCTCCAGTTAAAAGCTCCCACAAGGCTATTCCAAAACTGAAAACATCTGCCTTCTGGTCGTATGGTTTATGCTCAATAACCTTGAGATAAAAGATATTCATCATAAGGAAGAACAATGGCACATTTTTCAGAATCTAAAAGCAACAGACTAGCCCAACAATTCGAAAAATGCTACTAACCAAACTTCATTCGAGTTAAACTCTTGTCCAGTTAACAGTCAATTAATTGAAAAGTTGTGCTGTTGTGAGTTTAGCTCAAGAATAAAAGCAGAACATTTAATGTCATCGTGGTTCGATATACCCTTGCTAACAACTCTGCTCCATCTAAACCCGTGCTATCAATTGCACCTTGCAGTCCTTGGTGTTTTAAATTCATCATGGTCATCACTCTTGACAATGGTGGCAAGATCAATATGAAAATTCTAGTTTATAATTTAATGAGTGAAAGAAAGCAAGATATGATAGAAAATGCATCGGACTGCCAGCTACGCCCAACTTGTCCTAGTATACCTCACAGGAATAACAGACATATCAAAGTCTTAAAGGGCATAATAATCAAAGCTAGGTTGAACCAGGTTGCACACAGCAATCTTACACAAGCATATGATGGATATGATACTATATTTGGGTCGTTCTTATGTATCCTGGTTAAAAAGATATGCAAGGAATGAGAAATTAATGAAAAATACATACTTCAGGAGCCATCCACCGGTATGTTCCAGTTTCAGCTGTCATCACTCCAGATTGAGCTTGAACTCTGGCGACTCCAAAATCAGCAACCTTAACGACCTGAATTGAAGAATCTAGGACTTAACAATGTAAATGCAAATATTCTTTTGCAATCTTTTCTTTCTGTATTCTTGTCTTTTTTCTAAATCGTAAGATAATATGCCGTGCTTAATACAAACAGGCATGCTCATGCATGATTGTGCACGTAAAGGCACAAAACATGAGTATGAATGCTTACCAAAAAATAAAAACAAGAATAGACACATTCACAAACAGGATTAATAATTATTAAAAGACATGAGTACATGCAACAGTGAGGTAATTTTCAAAAGAATATTATAAGAATTATGAAGTTCTCTCACCATGTTTTCATCCATCAGAAGATTGGCAGTCTTGAGGTCTCGGTGGATTATATTATTTTGGTGCAAATAATTCATCCCTCTTGAAATATCAATGGCTACTTTAAGTAGAGATATAAGGTTAAATGCTCCTCTTTGCTTATGAAGGAAGTCATATATACTTCCTCTCGACATAAACTCTGTAAAAAATAAAAGATGAGGAATAATCAATCGATGAGAAACAAATGAAAAACTATATCATGAAAATCAGGGTGTGTGCGTGAAAGGAATTTTCCCTGAAAATTCCTTTCACGCGCACACACACAAATTTGTAAGGAACATATCACAATATACATTTACAAGGGAATTGTTTCAGCTAATATCCCATTGCTACTCCATAAAGAACTTTTGATAACAGTAAGAAACAAGATTTCTAGAAGTAACAGGTTACAACATCACGTAAGAAAATAGCTCACCGGTCACGATGCAAAGTTTTGGAGGTTTAGTACAAGCACCAATTAATTGAACAACATTTTTGTGCCGAACTTTCCTGAAAAAAATAGGATATCAGGCTTTAGTATAATAAGTAAAGACTTCATCCAGCATTAATCGTCTCCAAGTAGGTGCGCATCTTGTGAAATAAACATTTGGAGTCTATTAATATAAATTGCTTCAAGTGCTTATATGGGTTTTTTCTGAGTCCACATCTATCTTCAAGATCAATGTGGGAATTTTTAAGTGAAATTTTTTTGGAGAGAAATACTAAGGGATACCAATGGAAGATAAGTTAAATGAGTTTCTTAAAACATATTTGAAAATGCCAATCTACTTTGAAAGACCTAAAATTTAGCTTTTCATTAGGCTGGCATTTCCAGACGCTTCCCATACTGTTCCCCATTCAACCAATCAGAAATGAATCCTTATTTCTTCTTCTTTAAGATTATAAGAGATGATTATCCTCCATTGTACAATCCTCCTTTGAATCAGTATGTTGTTTTTTCTATTACCATATATGACATCAGGGGCATGGCAATATTTTACCTCGACCGTAACAAAAATTTATCATTCTAAGCCCAGAAACATCTCTTCCCAAGTAGATGCATTATTTTGAAGACTAAAGATTTAGATAGAAACAGATGATCTTAGATTCAATTAGAACTTGAAAGTGTAAAATATCTAAGACCTACCTTTTCTGATTGATATATTCTGAGCCTAAAACCCATTGCATCCTACGTTGTCTTTCAAGGTCATACCATATGTGTTATTCTAAAGCACGATGGTGTTAATAACAATATAGACAAACCTCATTATATAAACTTCTTGAGAGAATTCTTTGAGCATCTCTTCATTAATACGCTCAGGCTTCAGTACTTTAATAGCTACTTCTTGACTACAATACGTGCCTCGATACCTTGAGAGGAGAGGGAAGGAATATTAGGATAAGGATATGTTAACAAGTTTTTTCTAAGTTAACAATCATATGTTATAATTAGATCAAACTTACAGGTCCCCATATGACCCGGATCCAACTTTATTCTCAAATTTTAGTTGTCTGGCGTCAATTTCCCAGACATCAGTACCATCAGTAGGTATTTCAACACAACTAGGAAAAGATTCAACTCTATTCTGGTCATGCTTACCCAAAGCAGGACTGGACTGCTTTTCTGACCAACACTGCTCCTGCATCCCATTTCGGGGACGTTAAAGAAATTAAAGAGAAAAAAAAAACTAAGAATGTATCAGCAAACATTGACGTTCATTCAAATAATAAAAAGAAGATACCTTGAAATTTGAAACTTCTTTTTCTAATGCCCTTTTAAGCTCCTCAGTTTCCTAGATTTTCAAATATTCAAGTAGTTAAATATGAAAAAGATCAATATAAAAGATGAAAGAAATAAACAGTATAAGATGTTAGAATGAATTGCTCTTGTGAACTTCAGAATATTGGTCAAAAAGTGAATGGTGAAAAAGTTCCACAAAAGTTTACATGCCTAAAATTCAGATCTTACCTCAAAAGGCCAACCATCAATGACAAAAACATCCAGAGAGAAACCATCAACAGAGGAGAAAGCATGAGCTTCTTGTATGTTAAGTCCAACATCAGCCAGTAGGGAAGTTAACTGACCAGAACCAAAACTTTCTATCAACCAGTGAAGGGTGTGATAATAAAGGAAAATATAACCCCAGCAACCTAAATATCTCGTTGATATTGAGTTTTTGTTATAAATACTTATGGCTTATCAAGAATGCCATGGACACCACCAAACCAACTTAAATTACATGTTACGGTAGATCACCAGGAATTGTTTCTGTAAGTTGTAAAGCTGTTATAGTCAGTTAGTAGTTATTAAATGGTTAGTCTGTTGTAATCTCATTTGTTGAGAGGTACTAGGAAAGGAGCAATGTTTGAGGAATAATTACACAGTATAAAAAACTAAAATGCGGAAAGTCCTATTAAATAGAAAATGCAGGCACATCAAATTATATAGTCCC